AACAGTCAAGGTATGGACACAACATCATTGCCCACTGACAGGTGAAAGGTGAAGAAAATGTCACATATGTGTTTACAAGACAATACTATTCAGCCTTTTAAAAGAAGAAAATCCTATCTTTGGCAATAACATGGATACACTTAGAGGCCTTTATGTTAAGTATAATAAGCCGAGCATGGAAAGATAAATACTACATGTCATGTCATGGCGTACGTCTAGATGTCCCCTCAAAGTCTCATGCAGTCATAGGTGGGGCTTTTCGGAGGTGGCTGGATCTAAGGTGTGTGAATATGGGTTAAGAGTAAATGATAATTAAATTACTGCACCGATTGGTTTAACATAGTTCTGTGTGTGGATAATAGGAAGGAGCATCTAAGTGTGAGCAGCACCAACCAATAGGCTTATAGCCTGAATGGGATAGAAGGGAGAGGGAAGCTTTCTACCTTGCTGCCTGCTGGTTTCTACCTGCCCTTTCATGGACTGTTTCTTCTCTGCCACGCCCCTCTGCTGTGCCACCCTACCTTGGAACGAGCTGACTGTGGACTGAAACCTCTACAAACTGTGAACTAAAATACTTTCCTCCTTTAACTTTGTGGGTGTCAGGTATTTTGTCTCAGCAATAAAAAAGTAACCAAGATCTTGCATAATTTCACTTATATGTGGAATCCAAAAGCAGTGAATTAATAGAAACGGAGAGTAAAATGATAATTACTGGGAGGTGGGAGAGGGAAGAGTGAAAATGAAGTCATACAGGGTGAAACACACCAAGTTACAATTACACTGGGTTAATAAATTCAAGATAGCTATTGTGCAGTATGATTTATATTGTTAAAAACATACTGCATATTTCAAAATCACTAAGAAATTCTTTGTAAATAGGGAAGGGTGGAGGGGGTGAAGGGAGGCCAGGGGTATAGGGAAAAAATAAGAACCAAAATATGTCACATAAAGGTAAAAGATCCCAATTAGAATTTAACTGTATTATATACCTAAAATGTACCAATAAAGAAAAAATTTGAAAAAAAAATCTGAAATGTTCTCATCATAGAAAACAAGTATGCACAGTGACACTTTAATTAGATCAATTTAATCATTTCATAATGTATTCATATATCACAACATCACACTGTACACTTTATATATGTATATATGCTATTCATTTGTCAATTATAGTTTACTAAAGCTTTTGGAGGATGAGGACCACTCATGGTCACAGGTGAGCATTGAAAACTAACTAAAAAGTTAAATTTGAGATAATTGGGATTCATTTGCTTTTGTTTGTTTTTGCTTTGTTTTACTTAATAAGGCTATGGTTTATTTGTTCCTCTCTGGTTTATTACCTCCACGGAGTCTCATTTTTTTTTTCTTTTTTTTTATTTTTTTAATTTTATTGAGTTTATTGGTACATTTTAGGGATACAGTACAGTTACATTCATTGTTGGGATCATGTACCTTTACATGGCAAGTCTTGATTCTCATTTTTTCCCCTTACCTCTGCCCTCCCTTCACCCCCTCCTCCCCTCCCCATCTACAAACACTTTATTTTCATCTTTTCATTCTGGCCATGTACTAAAGGTAGGTTTATAAATACCACATTCATGGAAGTACTAGCAATTGGGATATTGATGGCTACTTTTATAAGGCATGTGGAGATTAATACACCCTTCTTACTTTCCCAAACATGTGAATTACACTTGGAATAAATGCAAGGCTTCTCCATTGCAATATGGAGAACTGTGTACTTTACTATAAGTATTGCTCCAGATAGATTTTCTTTGAAAGTTTCAGCGTTATAGCTACTGCTCCAAAAGAAAAGCACTAGTCCAGGTATTTCAAAAGAGGTGCAATTAGTAACACATTGTCAAAGATGTTGCCAGATCAGTATATTTCATAGGTTAATTGTTCAAGAATATTACATAGTGAAGATATTGTAGGTTAATTTCTAGGCATAAATGTTTTATGCTCCAATGTTGTACAACGACCTAAACTCTGAGAGTTAGTTATAGATGGGAAAAGGCATTAAGGTTAGGGTTAGAGTCAGGGTTAGGGCTAAGAAAGATCAGATATACCTGTGTGAAAATTCCTTGGAAAGATTCTTTAATTATTTTAGTATTGTCCCCTTACTTTTTAGGGATCACTGTCAACATCAAGGATACTAAAATAGCTAATAAACAATTTTCTAATGTTTTTCACCATAAATTTTCCTTGGACACCTCAGAAAATAAAATACAAAGTTGAATTTGGATGATATGCCAAGAAAGGAAAGGTTGTCTGTCATCCAAAGGATCTTAAAGTCCCTCATAGAAACTTATTCAATTATTATCACATTATGGCCCATATTTTATTTTTCATGACAATTGCTAAAGAAACTGCATGGCAGTTTCAAATAGTCAAGCATGAATGACAGTCAGAGTCTCATCCATACAGGAGTATCCAACACTCTATCAGTTGTTAATCTCAATTATTTTTAATTTTTTATTATTAATGAAGTTTATTGGTACACTTTACATATTACATGTAATGATCACACTCAACATATGGAATTTGTACCTGTATATTATATATTTTGATTTGTATTTTTTCTTATTTCCCTCCCCTCCATTGTACCACTCTTTCCCTTCTTATTTACATAAACTGTTTCCATTTTATCTTTCTTTTCTTGTTTTTTACTCTTCCTTTCTTTTCCTCTCTCCTCCCTTGTGCCCCTTCCTATTCGAATATTATCTTCCTATTTCACAATATCTATTATACATTTTCTTTCTTATTTATACTTTCAGTTTCTTGCACCTGAGAAACAGTGATATGCACACATGTCCATTTTATTTCACTTAAGAGTTTACTCTTTAGATGCATCTATTTAGTTATAAATGTCTCAACTTTATCTTTCTGTATGGCTCAATTATATAAAAAAAAACCACATCTTTATCAATTCATTGATTGATGGGCATACGGGTTGTTTCCAAGCTTTAACTTATTATAAACTGTGCTGCTATGAATATGGGTGTGCATATACTGCTGTGGTATGATGCTTTTAATTCTTTTAGAAAGATTCCAAGAAGAGCAACAGACAGGTCAAGTGGACCTTCTAGTCCTTCTTCTTTTGTAGAATCTCCACACTGATTTCCACAGGGTTCCAATCCATTGTTCCACCAACAGTGATGAAGGGTTCCTTTTTCCCCAAAACCCCATCAGTGATTTCTTGATATTAGCCACTCTTTCTGGAATGAAATGGAATCTCAGCATTGTTTTAATTTGTACCTCAAATGACCAGTGATGTTGAACATTTTTAATATATATATA